TATCAACATATATGTATTTATCATTAATTATGTTAGTAATGTAACTATAGGTGTAATATCATCCTTATTACCCCAACAATTAACCAAGACCTCATGGTAATATAGGATTAACCCACAGTAATTACCAAACTATAGTTGAAAAGCTTTAATTATAGGTGTAAGTAAACTAGCCATACTAGAAAGGAAAAGACCAATTCAAAGATCTTCTATGGTTAAATATTTGAAACTAACAATTTATAACTTTAATTAATACACACTACTATGGTAGAATTTCCAACATCAAGTAATTTAAACTCATTGAAAACCCAAGTAATTAAACTTAATTTAAATTATAAAAGCAACAAAGATGGGATCCTAAGTTTTAATAAATTAAACACTTTAAATCAAGCGAAAAAAAAGTTCTAAATCAGAGTTATAAAACATACAAAAGTATGGGAAACCAAATATACTTGAAAGCATTTGAAAATAAGGTAAAAAATGTCAAAGATCCAAAAACCAAGTCATCTTTTGTGGCCACAGAGTGATGCATCACAGCTAATGTCTCTTTGTGCCTTGCACCATGGTGCATTGCACAAAACATGACAACACATTGATGTCAAATGACAAATTCACTAAACAACACACCCTTGATGTTCAATTGAGGTGATATAGGTATCCATAGAAAACTCATCGAGTAAACTAACTAATAGCGCTGGTTTTATTTCTAGATTATTTAATATTAAAGAATTGGACACCCAAATACAAACTAATCATATTTTCAAACTTAATCTCGACTTATGGTGTTTAAAACTCTACTCGAGTGATAAAAGATCAACCAAACCAAACATCTAGATTACACTCAATAGACTCAAGACAACTTGTGCAATATACTACAGCAATCAAATACCTCATATAACTCAATTCCAACTCCCAACCCCATGGTTTCCAAAAATAATAGGGGGAGGTTTTCAATATTAAATCTCATTATATTCACTTACAATAAACCAAATAATCATAATCATGTTTTGCACCAGTATTTTGACCTTACACATATAGCTCAAAACACATAACACATAACCTAAGGTTCAAAATACAACTTTCAACTAATTATGCAAATGGTGCAAGTACATATTAAAATATGATACTAGTTGGCAATATCAAATTAGATTACAAATATTTAAGCTCAAAATATAATAGGATTATAGTAGGAATAAAATTCCCAATTCTCATTGCTTTTCCTTTGCCTTGCCCCAAAACTAGTGCTTGTAAAATGTTAAATAGAGGGATCAATATAACCACTTAATAACCAATGTAGTCTAATCTATGCATATGCAAGTCAATTAACTATAGTAATGCAAAGTGGAATTTATGCAAACATATTCACCTTTCAAAATCACAAATCCATATCCGTTCATATGCTTACTTTTCCATAATGCACAACAATATAATCCCATTACAAACTTAACGACCATGTGACAGTTTATTAATAAAATACATGATCAATAACTCTGTCATAACCTTCTAATACCTCTAATTGAAATTATCAGCTATTAAATAAAACAAGGATATATATGTGTGAATGGAACAACTCAAGCTCATCAATCGTGAGGTGTTACCCAGCTAAAGGTTATTACACTCACTCTCAAACCATGATTTTCCCCATTTATGAATCTTTGGGGTGTTGCTATCCTTAAGGTAATCTCCTTAGGAAACAAGTAGAGAACAACCTAGGTTATTGTCCCTTGACAAATAATGAAATAGTCCCTCAACAAGTAAAGAGACAAGTGACTAGCCATCAATTTTCAAATGGCAACCGTACCATATGGATTTGTCTTTTTACTTCTCTCCTAAGGCAAACTCTTGCCAATCATGATCATGTAATAAATATATGTTTAACACATTTAGCATGTCATTTCCAAATATCCTCATACTTATCATATGTAGCATACTTCATTTATTACTCTTCATACTCATAATCACATCGCATCACAAGTATCTCATTCAATTTCCATATAGGTCAAATTATCTTTAACAACCATCATCAAAGGCTACACTTACATTGGAAATTTCTAAAATGTAAATCACAACATAGCAAATAAGTTTGCATATTCAAAATGTGTTTCACAAAACTCTATAATTAATCAAACAAGCAATGCACAAAAATTAAGTTTCTCTTAGTTACTTCAAACTTTTGAGAGGTCAAAGTTACCCCTCAATCAAAACTTGCTTCCACAAGATATATCTGAGCTCAATTTGTAGACAATGTGGTTAATTTACAATTAACAACACTGACCATCATTAACACACTTCCAAATTTCAATTTTGACACTTGATCGCCATAAATACAACCTCTTGTGTTTGCTCACTACCATTAGGTGTATTAACTTCTATTAGCTCCAACTAACTTTATTAAACCTATCTATCATTATTAATAACTTCCAACAAACTCTCAAGTAAATGGATCCCATAAATCATCAAACACAGGTGTAAATAACTTAAATAACTTTCATTAATTCTATTTGAACTAATGGGTTTGGACCATAACCCTATAGGTCTAAAAGTCAACTCCTTATAACAAACCCTAACTCAAAAACTAAGTAGAGAGGAAGAGGAAGGAATGATAAAACTTAGGAAACTTACTAGATGTGATTTGAAGCTCTAAAATGCTCTTAAATGATTGAGGAATTGAAATCCTAGCAGAGAAAATTGTGTCTCTCTCAAACTCCCAATTTCTCCTTTGTTCTTTGTGTTTTTTAGCTATTTAAAATGATGTTATGATGCATTGTCCATCCACAATTAAACATAATAGAAACATATTTGTTCGTGATCGAGACCACTTATCTTGATATAACCCCTCTATCTATGACTGCAATCGATTATCTCCAGTGAAAAACACAACTATGAATGGTTGTGATTAAAGAGCACATCCTACTTCCAGGAATGCTCAATCACGACTAGTGATCACCCTAGTCGTAAATAGGCTTGGACATAAGACCCATTTCTCCTTCAAACTCAATCTTAAACCTCAAGTCTTGCTCCACATTACTCCTGACTAATTCCTTCTTTGTTTAATACTCCTAATTAAAATTTTAGGATGTTACAATATGTGATTTTATATCATTAATTAATTGATCAGATTTAATTTTTATCCATTGTATGCTCATAGTTCCCAGAGCAACTGGACAAAGGCAGGAATTGTAGATATGCTATCATGAAATACATGAAGGTCATAATCCAACATACTCCTATTAGGACTCTTCCTGACAATGTAATTATGTTGTCAACCTTCTCGTTATTATATTATTTTTACTAATTAACAAGACTTTAATTTTTTGTTTTTCTTTTTGCATATGGTACTATGAGGACGCTTACCATGACACATTTACTAATGTCTAAATGAAAGAAGTCCTTGAAAAGCTTACACATAGTATTTTCCTAGCGTGGTTTAGATATAACAACTAGCAATAGTAATAGTGAGAAAGTAGATTATATATGTATATATTTAAAGTTGACTTATATAGATAATATAGGTATACTTGGCCAATTTTTGGGATTTGGTGCCTTATTTTTGCCATGAATTAGTTTAACTTGAGTAACTTCAAATTAATGTGTATAACTTTTATGTAGGAATTCATAATATATATTTCATCTATATGAGTATTACTGGCTTCTGAAATTCTATTTTTGGGTACTAGAATTTGATTTGTAATGTACAATATCCAGCAACTAAAGTCAGTTATTTGGGTAGGCCATGCTTATTCGGATCGGGCTTAAAGTATCATGCCTTTTAAAAAAATCTATATAGCCAAGCTAGCCTAGCCCTAACTTTTTTTAGTGGGTTTGGGCTGGCCCGTTAGGTTTGGCTTGAATTACACACTCTACATACATATAGAGTTGGTTCAGCAATCAGGCTTATTTGGGCATGGCTCAATTCGGGCTGGCTTATGTGGATTGGGCTTAAAGTATCTTACCTTAAAAAAAAAGCCTATATAATCAAACTCGGTCATAACATTTTTTGGGTGGATTTAGGATAGCCGTCAAGGTTGGCCGAAATTAGCAACTATACTTGTAGCCCCTTGTTTTAAAATAATTGGTCATGATATTAAATGGTTATGAGGAAAAATCATTTAAATTTATGACCAAAACAACAGTACAATAATATAAAATGGTTGTCTCATCATAACCGTTTTATATTTCAAAATATTAAATGGTTCTGAGTAGAAAACTTTTTACTATTGTCCAAACATTAAATGGTTTTGGACGTAGAACTATTTAATAAATGGATTCCCAATTACATCTCTCTAAACCTCAAACAAATATTAAACGGTATTGGGATAAAAACTATTTAATAAATGAAGGATATTAAATGGTTAATAATTGTTGAATTGAGGCTCATGAAATATTCAGTACCACATTATTCAACAGTTCATACTGTTTAATATTAGCAAAAATAATCATTTTGTAGTAGAGTAAAGTAACATTGTACCATGAATTTAATATTTCAACCATCTAGTCTAATTAATTCGACTAACCAAATGTTTGAATTCAATTCAGTTTATATGTGTTTAATTACCTATTAAATAAATAAACTTGATCAACGTTACCACTTTGTTCCTTAAATTAGTTTTGCCAGCCAAGGTTAGCATTTTTAATTATCATTTACTTGGATTGGTTAGGTTTTCTGATACTTTAGTACTACCCCCCTTTCTCTCCCTTTCCCCCTCTCTGTATTTACATATTTCTATTATTTTTAACATAAGATAAAGTTAATGTAATAACTCAAAAATAATAATAATAAAATAAAATAATTAAGTGTATAAGTTTATGTTTTAATAGTAATTATAAGAGTTTTTGAAATTATTATAATCAGAAGGAAAGTGGTTGTAGTGGCAGTTAAATAAGTATTCTCCCAATAGGTCTGAAGTTCGAGTCTGGCTGAAGGAAAATAAGATTTTATTTTGTTCTTTTTGGCCTTCAAAAATTACCAAATTACCCTTCTTCAATCTGATAAAAATTTTTCCCCTCCTTCGATTCTTCTGGAGACCGACAGAGAGAGGGAGAGAGAGTCAGAGAGCAGCTGTATCGGCAGTCACCATTGCTGGCCTCCTTCAATTGGGAGTCACCGATTCTTTGATTCCTTCGTCGTCTTCAACGTCGGTGGTGTGTGTGAGTGACAACCGAGAGGGAGAGAGGAGAACTTCAATCATCCAGACCTTCATTTTTGTTCTCCTCCCCTTCATCGCTGACAAGAGCAAGTGGGTAAGTGATCTTCTGGCCAGCGTCATCAGAGGTCACCGGATTCCTCTTCTCTCTCTGTTTTGCGTTAAAAAAATAATAATAATATTCCTCTTTTGTTCAGTCTTGCTGTGGGTGTCAGTATTGCTGGATTCTGGGCTCTTCATCCGTACGTCGTCTGTGTGTGTGAAGCGAAAGACCTTTTACTAGCAGAGGTTGCCAGATTCTTCCATGTATTTCCATGTTCGTGCTGTTCTGTGCTGTCTCTGTTTTGCTTCTTCCTTCTTTTTGCTGTTTGCGTGTGGGGTAAGCTCAAAGAAACCTTCCTTTTCTGCTGTGTTTTGTAGCACGTTTGACTACTCAACCATGATCTATTGTGATGAAAGAAGGATTTGGGTATTGATCTTAGTGGATTTAAATTTATGAAGTTGCTTGGAAGCTGTAAGTGGTTTGAAATTTTTAGAGTAGGAAGCTTGATGATATGCATTGAATTTTTAATGCACTCCAAATGTTTGATAAAATATTTAAAAGAGTTGGAGTGGAGTTATTAACCATATTCAGTATACTAAGGACTAATATTATAGATCTAAATTTAGTTTGGATAAAGACATGAACTTTGGAAGCATAGAAAATTTAACTAAGTGTTTAATGAAATGTGATGAATGGATGTTGGTTAATGGTAACAACTAAGTGTGATGAATTGGTTACCTAGATAAGGGGGGAAAGAAAACTGATGTACTCTCATTGTTCTTACTTGACGTGTAAATGGGAGAGCAAATCGGATTCGGGCAAAATGAAATTCAAGATTAAAGAGGATAATTTTTGAAAAATAATTCCATTATTGTGTTGGCTATTGTTTGAGGAGGATGGTTGTGGGTTTGGATTTTATGATTTTAAATTAATTCTTGATGAGAAAATATGATAAATTTAAATGTTGATATTGAAAATTTTTGGGCAAGGGTTAGGAATCTCAATTGATTAAATTAGGAATTGATGCACAATAGGTGTTTGTTGAAAGGTCTGAGAGAGGATCATACTTCAGTCAAATGTTTTACTATGACTAAAGTAATTTAGAGGAAATTTGCAATATAAATGATGGTGTTCGGGAAAACTTAAATTTTATATATTGATTATGAATCCATATGTAACTAGTTATATTCCTAGGATAGTATGGTTATTGATGAATTGTTGAGTAAAGGTTGGAAGATTAGAAAGTCTAAGAAGAAACCTCTATATGTAGATTTTGTTACTAAAACTTAAAGTTTATTACTAATTCTGGTTGAGTGAATTCTCCTAAAGAGAGACTTGTTGGTTCAAAAGTAAAGTTCATTAAGATCTTATTATTTAGTATAGGGTGATTGTGAGAAGGGTAGCTCGATTGGAGTGGTAATAAATGAGTTTCGAACTTTGAAGGTACTGCAGGTAAGTGGATAGCGTCCCAACTAATTTTTTTATTAAAATTTTCTTTATTAAACTATTACGTTTTTTGGAAATCATTTTAATAGCATTAATGTGATTATTAGATATTTGTTGATTAATATTGCTTTATTTTGAGAAATTAGCTTTATCAAGTTTGAAAGGTTATTTGATCAATTAAATCAAGTTTGGACTTTGATTATGAAATTTTTGTTCTATCAAATATTGGATTGATACAGAGAATAGTTCTTGTGAGTTCGACTTTAAAAATTTTTGATTATTTGATAAATGTAAGCATAAGCATTGGATATGAAATGTTATTCTGGAAAATTTTAATACTTAAAAGTATTCATGTGAGTTTGAATTGAGAAGGAGAACTGTATCTTGAAAGTGATGATTTTCTCGCATGTTTGAAAATGATTTTTTTAAAAAAAGAAGGGACTTTATACGGAACACTGGTTGCTAATGGCAGTTCCGTTAGCCCTTGGCGCGCCATGGTACACCTAGCTAGCAGGGTGTTTATAGGAGGTGCTAGTCCCATGCGATGGCCAACGCATGTGGAACGGAGGGATGGTTACTCATGAGCATCGTACTCACGTTTGATTTCGTGACTTTGAGCCACGTTTGGTTATCATTACCCTTGTGAATTGTGTGTCCACATTTGTTTCGTGGTTTCAGCCGCGTTTGGTTACTTATCCTGGTGGATTGTGTGTCACGTTTGTTTTCGTGGCATAAGCCGCGTTTGGTTATTTATCCTCGTGAATTGTGTGTCCACGTTTGTTTATTGTTCTGATAAGTCCCTATGATATGTATTTGATTGTTTGGAAATTTCACATCCCATTGGTTTTAAGTAATAAATTATTTATAGTTATTTAATTTTTCATTTGCTTCCTTGCAATCAAGTGATAATATTATTTGATATGATATTTTAATGGTTTGAGATTTTTACTTAAAATTTTATCGAATTCTTTTATTTCAAAAGTTTATTAAATTGTTATGAAGATTGTTGCCTCTTTAAAAAAAATTATTTCAACTTTATTTTATTTTTATTCATGTTTAATTATTTATTATTGGGACGTTATTCACTAGAAAATTATTTTGGCCTCAGATTCATTAGTTGATGCTGAATCTCCTGCCGACCTTTGGAGGGCATATGGCTATATTGGATGGAAATTTTATTTGGTATTGTTACCTCTTAATGTAAATATTTAAGATTCATGTATTTTAGCTTAGAAGTAAAATTAGTTGCTCCACATAAGCTATAGTTAGAGTTTTATTTTAATATATATATATATATATATGTTGTCTGTTGGCTGGAAGGAGCTGAGCTCTTAATTGATACAATGTTTAGGAAAATTTTTGTTTTGTAAAATTTTTGGGAGATCCTAATTATAAAGGAGTTTTGTCGAAATTTCTACAAAAATGTTTGAAACTTTGTTATGACAATTAATAACAAAAGTTTTAAAATTTTCATATAATTTGATTAAATTTTTTTAAAAAAATTAAAATAAATTTTTATTTTAAGGTTTATGAGAATGTGCGATGTAGTTCACACCTTGCCGGTCAACCCTTATTTTTGGGGCGTGACAGCTAATTAACTTTGTGTCTATTAAGAAATTATAATAATATCCTAAAAATTGTTTTAAAAAATAGCTGTAATAAATTATTATCTAAAAATTTAAATTATAAATAAACAAATAATATTGTATCATTTTTTAAAGTTAAAGGAAAACATTACATAAAAAATGAGTTAATCCAAATGTTTCAAGCTTATACTTTAACGGTGAAATTATCATTTAACCTATTAATTACTCTAGTTTTGTGTTATATTAAGGATAAAAAATTTTAAAAATTTATCTTAAATTAAAGACAGGAAGAAATATATGATAATATTTATGAATAAATAAAATTTATGCATATCGCTGTCACGATTCACCATTGCAATGCCTCGGAAACTTCCCATTTTTCCTGTTGGCAACTTGGCATGCAAATGTAATATGGGTGCCCATGGAATAGCATGTCAATATAAGACTAATTGATAATAAAATTATAGATATGATTAAAATGACATTATCATTATCATTATTATTATTATACAAAAGTGGAAAAACAAATTTTTTTTTTGGGTAAATCAACTGTGAACTTAATATTGTCAACCATCTTGGTTTAATTAATTCCCCTAATAAAAAGTTTTACTAGTTCAAATCAATTTATTTACTCCGTCCGTTCAGTTATATTTTGAGATTTGTCAAAATACAATTGATAAATTTTTTAAACTAAAACACTAAATAAGTGTAAACATGAAATGAATGTATAATTTTAAAGGCTTTTAACTAATAGGTCTAAATTAGTTAAAAATATTTTATAGTACTCAACTGGTGGAGTAGTTAGTTACCTATTAAATGAATAAATCTGATCAATGTTTATCCACTATGCTCCTTAAATTAGTTTTACAAGCCAAGCTTAGCATCTTTATGATTTTATCATTGACTTGAATGGCTAGGCTTTCTAATACCATATATAAACATACACACACTGCATTTATATATATGATAATATTATAATAACATAAATAAATAAGAAAAATTATGCATAGCCTCGGAAACTTACCTATTTTATGTTGACAACTTAGCATGGAAAAGTACTTATTGTCAGTTATATAGGACATTTCCCATTCGTTATTAATTAAATAAGGCTGATATAACACGATGACAGATACTATTAAAAGGACAATTATTACCTTCTAGTGCAGCAAATAAACATGACACTAACAGTATAGTATTACCTAAGGAATTCATTTTATGCACAGGCTTCAGAATGTCAATCCAAGACATAACGAGGAAGCGATTCAGAAAGTGTGACAAGGATTTGAATTTTATAAGTAATTAGTTTAAGTCTATTCATTCAATAAATTTCACTCAATAAATCAAACAGTTATATGAAATTTTGTTATATAATACTAAGAAGGTATAAATCTCAAATTTTTTGAAGAGACAACATATGTGAATGGTATTTTGATTATGAAAATTGTCTTGAACTTTTAGAAGGAAATGCATTTTATAATTTTTAAGTATTAATAGAATTCAATGACTGTAATTGAGTTACTTATTAAATAAGTGGACTTAAGTCATTCATTAAATCTAAATCCGCGACTAGGGCCTTGCCTCTCCCTTGTTCCTATGTTTTAATTACTGTATGATCAATGCTTTTCAATGGTTTTGATTTAATTTTCAAAAAACATAATTTTTAATCATTGCATTTTGCTCGAGTTTTATTATAGATTCTTATATTTTTTTTATCATCTAGATCTATAAACTTTTGTTATTCAATGTTTTAAGTCCCTTCATGAGCAGTATTATAGAAACTTAGAATACAAAAAAAAATATAAAAATCTATAGCAAAACTCGAATAAAGTGTAAGAATTTAAATTTATATTTTCTTTTTAATTTTTATTATAATTTTTAGTAGTTTATTTCCTTCCTTTTATTGCTTGGATTGAAAATCTTGTGTTTAACATACCCATACAATTAAATCCCTTGGAATAGTGTTAAAAGAAGTGCGTCAAATTATTGCTATATTTTCACTATTTTGAAGGAGGTATTCTCTATTGTTAGGAGAACTTAATTCTTATATTTATCAAAAAAAAATATTGTAGTTTTAAATTGTCTACGTCAAACTTTAATAGTTTAAATTTATTTATATATGTTTATATTAAATTATAAAATAATAATAATAATTTTGTCAAAGATTAAATTGGAATCGTTGAAAGCTTCAGTCTTAACGATGATAAAAAGCAAAGCAACTAAATAATGAGTTTTCTTTGGGGGGCGGGGGTGGGGGAGTAGAGTCTATTTATTTTCTGGGTATAGATAGCAACTCAAAGTTTCTCTCCTCGCAAGGAGCAAGCACATAAACTTACTATAACAAATGAGGATCAGAAAACCTTTTGTTCTGGTCTTGCTTTTATCCCTTCTAATTGCAGTTGAATCAGCTTCCCTGTTGCCTCTTCTCCGAGGAGCTACTGCATTGTTCAATAAATCGTTATGGAGCAAAATACTCAGAACTGTCGAAAGCCCTAAATATTCCAGGTTCAATTCCCAAGCACGGAATGATTTGAGAAAACCCATGCGCGACAAGCGTGACCGTCTCCAAATAGGAGACGTCGTCGAGGGCATATCCCAGCTTCAAGACTATTTTGAGTTGTTCGGTCACCTTAATTCCACTTTGAATTCAAACTTCACCGATGTATTCTCCGCCGACGTTGAATCAGCCATCGAACGCTTCCAGAAGACTTTCAACCTCAACGTCACCGGCCAGCCCGACAACGCAACTTTGTCGCTCATCTTTCTGCCGCGATGCAGCCTGCCTGACTTCATAAATGGCACCTCCACTGTGCTGGACAATCGCACGACGTCGTTTGCCCAGTGGTGGGAGGACGGGAAGAAAGATTAGTTACGCGTTTTCACCTGAAGTTAAAACGTCGACGTCGTTTAAGGATGCGTTCGCCGACGCCTTCCAATGGTGGTCGAACAAGACGACGTTGAACTTTACAGAGATGACGTCGTTCAACGAAGCTGACATTCAGATCATGTTCTTGCCATTGGATGGGAATCTAGGAGTGGTAGGCGGCGCCTGGTTCGATAATAAGACAAAGAAGTGGAACGTTGTTTTGGACTCCGACGAGAAGTGGGTGGTTCAGACCGAGGACATGAAGAAGAGTGACGATCTTTACCTGGAGCCGGAAGTCATCCATCAGATTGGGCACGTGCTTGGACTGAATCACTCAGCGATAAAGCAGGATAATATGAACCCTTTAATTCAGACTCAGTCATCGGACGGCGGAGGAGGCGGAGGTGTAGGGCTGAGATGGGGCCTGGTTTCAACTTTATGGCTCGGAGTTACCTTGCTTTTCTGGTTGTGATGGACATGGTTAAATTCGAAGCCCGAGTCACCAGAACTCTGAGCAGTCGAAAGTGTGCTGTTGTTAATTGTTACTTTTACATTTCATGAATCTTTTTCTTTCTTAAACGTATCATGGTTTAATTTCTTCTCGCTTGGGGTACTATGGGTTTCCACTGTGATATTTATACAGTTATTGAGAATTTTAATGTTTGTAAAACTATTTGGTGTTGCTTGTTACGATGGACGCTGTTCAATCAATAATCAACATTTTGAAGGGCGAAAGATTTTGTTATTTTACCAGAGATTTAATACGCACACTGTATGTAATGACTATACACCTTTACATATAAAAAAAAAAACGGCTTAAAATAGTTGATTTTTTAAAATTTGTCACAAATTGAAATTATTATTTTTTAAATTTCTAAATAATTCTTAATTAATACTCCATCCATCCCAAATTATAAGACTTATAATTTAAGATAAGATTATGCATACTAAATAAAACTTAATAATAACATTTTACAAGGTTATTTTTTAAACACAAATGTATAAACTTTCAAGAATATCTTTCATTTAATATAACTTTAAATTTATGCTCATTTTAATTTCTTCTCCATTTTAAAAGCAGTATTGAATTAATAAAGTCTTACTTTAGTTAAATTATCTTATAATTTGAGACCATAAAATATCTCATCTTATTATTTTTGGGATGAATGGATTACTTTTTTACAATTTTATCTCATCGACTCAAATTAATTAAGGAAGGGTAGAAACACAATTGGCAACATATACTTATTTATTCGTGTTTTTCAAAATACTTTGTGCCTGTTTGGATTTCATCCATAATCAATTCTAAAGGCCAAAACTATGGTTTTATGAAAATATATACAAACACCCCTGTTACATATAAAAATCAATTATAAATTTAAAATCATGTTTTTTTAAAATTATCTAAACACCTATCATACATGTCAAAATTACTTATAAATTTAAAATCATGATTTTCTTAAAAATGTCCAAACACCTTTACATATGTCAAAATCAATTATTAACTCAAAAACATGATTTTTAAAAAAAACCATGGTTAGCATTGAAAAAAATAAAGAAAACATTTAAGCTAGAGAGTCGATTCCCTTAAAATGTATATGTCAAGGATTACAGAAATAAAAAAAAAAAAGAAGAAGAAGAAGAAGGGAAAGCGACAATTAAGAATCTTGTAAAGATATTAATTACAATTAAAGATCTCAATTAAATATTGAAATGTGAGAAAAAGATATAATTAAATAATAATAAAATTAACTTAAAAATCAATTTGACCGAGTCCATGTCTTACTTAGTATAAATCAATTAAGTAATTAATAATAGCCATTGATGATTAGTGTTATTAAATAGTAATGGCAAACCGTGCGAACGCTCACTTTTTTTAGCATAAATTGCTGAAAGTATCTCAAATAATTTGTCAAAATATGGGAAGTAGAGTTTGAGGAGCATATCTCAAATAATTTTTGTTAGATATTAATTTTTTAAGAGTTTTTTATTGGTATTCTCCTTTTAAGATAAGGGCACAGCGCTAGTCGGAGGAAAGGCACAAAGTGGAAACACACTACAGATAGAAGTGAATGTTATGAAATTTATGTGGAAATAAACAAACGTTGGCGAGATACATTATTGAGAAAAATAAGAAATAAACGGGACCAGAAAAAGCCTATCCACGTTAACCATTCCTTGGCCACAGAGTCACATCTGGTCTCTCGATGACGAAAAGTCTGTTCTAATATGCCCCAAAAATCTCTGAACTTCAGGTGAAAAAAAAAAGTAATATGCTCCAAAAAAAAAAATGCCACTTGGCGCCAAACCATTTCAATCATTTTTCTACCAGCCAAGAGCTCCACGTGGTCACCTCAACATCAAGGCGGGTCTCTAAGCTTATCTCAAGGCATTCTTAAAATGAGATATGGACCGTTTAGATTTCAATTTAGATGGTTCAGATTTAATATATTATTATATGTTATATTTATTAAAATAATTTATTTTTAGTTTGGTCTAATTTAATTTAGTAGGTCTAATTATATTAAAATTTTTATAATTGATGTATATTGATTATTCAAATGCACTCTACATAGTCCTAAACTGTGCAGAATAAATTTGGATAATCAATATACATCAATTATAAAAATTTTAATATTAAATTAAACACTTTAAATTAAATCTAAATCAGATTAAATATAAAAAATTATTAAAATTATTTTATAATTTTTATAAATTTTTATTTTAATAAATATAATATATAATAATATAATAATATTTTAAATTTGGACTATCCAAATAAAAAATTTGGATGATCCAGATTTTATCTTAAGGATGAGCACGTGGTGCTCTTCCTTAGGATAAGTAGGGAAACTCAACCCCCTCAACATCACTATGTCAAAACATTATACATCTAAGCCTAATGGGAATCATTGGCTCTAATGAAATCGATTTATACTTAACAACATGATAAATCAAAACGAAAGAAATCATGATTTTTTTAACACTTATTATACATGCTAAAATTAATTATGAATCTAAACTATGATTTTCTTAAAAATATCCAAACATCTCTACATATATCAAAATCAATTATGAACCCAAAAATATGATTTTTAAAGAAAACCATGGTTAGCATTAAAAAAAATAAAGAAGACATTTAAGCTAGAGTTTATTCCCTTAAAATGTATATGTCAAGGATTACAAGAAAGAAAAAAAGAAGGGAAAGTGACAATTAAGAACCTTATAAAAATATTAATGACAATTAAAGATCTCAATTAAATATTGAAATGTGAGAAAAGTGATATAATTAAATAATAATAAAATTAACTTAAATCAATTTGACCGAGTCCATGTCTTGCTTAGTATTAATTAATTAATTAATAATAACCATTGATGCTTAGAGTTAATAAATAGTCATGGCAAACCGTGAGTACGCTCATTTTTTTAGCATGAATTGCTGAAAGTATCTCAAGTAATTAGTCAAAATAAAGGAAGTAGAGTTTGAGAAGCACATGTGAGAAATTCATTCATCTAGAGATGTGATGAGTTTAATTGGTGATCTTGATTATCTCAATAGCAAGCATGTTGGTAACTTACTAGACCTCTTTAATTAACTTTTCAAAGAGAAAAGAAAGAATGAGAGTACAGAGAAGAAGACATAGCAAATGAATTTATCAAAGATGGAGAGATAATACAATCCTCTTCTCTCCTCGGTAAGCAATAAAATTATCTCCTCTGTGAAAGGGCAAATACCCTTGACTAGGGCTGAGCAATAGGCGGCATGGGCTAACTCGTAGGATTGCCTGTGGCCCGTCCCGTTTTATCCAAAACGGGCTAGGCCAGCCCGTACCCGTTTACAGCCCGTTTCAACCTGTTTGAAAACGGGCTGGGTGGGCTTACCAGCCCGTTTTGGACAAGCAGTCCCCTTTTGCCTAAAAATATATATAAATATATTCTACACTTCAAATTTTTTTAATTCTATCTAAAAACAACTTAAATATCACCATCATCAAAGGAAACAAGCTCCCATATTAGTAATTACATATTACAGTCATCCAAGCATCATTAATCTTCAAATCATAACATTAATCAAATCAAAACAACCACACAAGTTTACAAATAGTCTTACCACAAGTCACAAGCAAAAATCCAAAACAAGTCGCCTTGTCACAAGGCAACAACATAACTAAACAACAAGGGAAAAAAGTTCTTCAAACAATCAACCACATGTTTAATCTTGTATTGGGTCGTCATCATCATCATCATCTTCAGAATCACTAGAAATGGTTGAACGTTGAGCCCCTGATTCTTCCTCTACAAAACAAGTTAAGAAAATGATATTCGTTAATATTTGAACAATATAAAGTAATATAAAGTAAAAATGTTAATGAAATTACCAATAACAAGATTGTCAGACTCATCAAAATTATCAACATCAAGCTCTTTCAATTTAAAAGTAGGTTGAGAAATCCAACTTTGACCACAAATGAGTGCCTCAATCGTCTTTGCAGATAAGGAGCTCTTAAAAGTATCCAATACTCGACCTCCCGTACTAAAGGCAAATTCTGAGGACACAGTAGAGACAGGTAAAGCCAAAACATCACGCGCAATCAAACTCAAGATTTTATACTTGAAAGCGTTTACTTTCCATTAAGCTAAAACATCAAATTTTGGATCATGAGAAGCAACTAACTCAGCCCAAAGATATTCATCCACCTTTGAATTTTTTTTCCTCTTGGCGTTCAGTGCTTGCAATTGTATAGAACTATCTCATTGTTTCATCATCCATGACTGCCAAGACATTATCATCGGGAATTGACTCTTGATTCCCCCCAACATTGTCATCTCTGTGCTTTGCTCTTACTTGAGTTTGAGAAGCTTCACCGTCAGAGGAATCCTTTGAATATTCCTCATATAAGCTATGCAAGACATCCATGACATTTTTTGTGACTAACTCACGTTGCATGGGCTCAGAATACATATTTTCTAAAGCAACTTGGACATACTTAAATTTGTATCTAGGGTCTAATATCACTGCTATCACCAACAATGGATTCATGTTATCCACCTTACCCCAATACTTATCCAACTTACTTTGCATCTGTCTCACCATGTCACCCAATAAAGCATTAGAATTAGTTGTACTTGTCTTAAGCTTGGTATGCATTGCAACTATTTGCTGAAAACATGTGTTGGATGTCGTAAAATTTGATGCAAAAAATTTCAAAGTCATGGAGTAAAACAGCTTCAAGAAGACTATAAACTTCTTTGCAACACCCCAATCATATGGACTAGGAGGTTCTTCTTCAACTTTCTTTTTGAAGTATTCATTGTAATCTTCATCCTCTTCCTCCATTTGATTAAAAACCTTAATGAACTTTACAGCATTTTCCAACATTATGTATGTTGAATTCTACCTAACAACATAAACAAAGCTTGATTAATATTTTAAAAATAAACATTAATTAACAATTCATAACAATAATTAGAATTACCTAGTGGGACAATTCATACTAAGCAAACTTTTTAAATCAATTCTTTGCTTTCCCATAAGCTCCTTGAATCTACACAGCCTTGCTGGAGAAGATCTAACAAACTTTATCACATGCTGAATGAGTTCAATAGACTTATTCATTTCCTTCAATCCTTCAGAAACAATTAAATTTAAAATGTGAGCAGCATACTACATATGCATATACTCTCCATCACACATAAGGCCATTCCATTCTCTTAAGCATTTTTTTAAATATGCA